CCAGCAACCCACACGTTTCGTGGCCCACTGGGAGTGTGCACGCGCTATGCCCATTTCGGCGCACCCCCCTAACGTTTCGTAGCTCTGTCTGGATCACTGCCTGCGGCCCAAGTGGGGCGTGCCCGCACGGCGCCGCCACGCCTGTGCCGGCGCACCCCTCGCACGTTTTTTGGTTGCGTATAGAAGCAGAGAAAGCCACATAAACATAAATTTTTGGCGCTCCGCGCGGATGTCTTGGACTTGCGCTGGATCCCCGTCCTTGGCGCGCGGAACCCGCCAGGGGCGGCGCTGGAGGCCCCGCCAGGGGCGGCGCCCAGGCGGAGCGCCAACAGTTTTTGTTTGTGTGATTGTTTCTTCTTCGACCATACGGAGTTTTACCGTGGACCCCCGTGGCGCCACTACGTGGCCTCGCACGCTTCGTGGCCCCCCTGTCCGCCCATGCCCTGGGCCCGTCCCTCTCGCTCGCGCGCCAAACCTTTGGCGCGCGAGCGAGAAAAAACATGAACATAAACTTTTGAACAGTCTATGCTCATTCCCCATATCCAAAGGATGGGGTTCTTTTTATTCTCCGACCGCGCCGGACCACCTCCCCTCCTTCCTCTCTGCACTAGACAATGATGATTGTCATGATGATGACCATGCTGTGGTGAGAGTATGATGTGAGTATGATGGTGATGGTGAGTGATGGATGAGTATGATGGTGATGATGATGACGATGATGATGATGCTGATGATGATGATGTTGATGTTGTTGATGATGATGATGAATATGTTGATGATGTTGTTGATGATGATGCTGATGATGATGACGATGATGATGATGATGATGATGATGATGATGATGATGCTGCTGCTGCTGATGATGATGATGATGATGATGATGATGCTGATGATGATGATGATGATGATGATGACGATGACGATGACGATGACGATGTGCAGATGATGAGGATGTCTCGAGCGGTTTGCTTGTTTTAGCACTCCCAAGGGGAGGCGCCAGGGGTATTGCACGGCCTCCGTTCGCGCCCAAATGGTGGGATGTCTCAGGTGGTTTGCCTGTTTTGGTCCCCAACATCCTCCGTTTTCGGAGCAGATTTTGAGGATGTCTCGTGCGAGGCGCCTTCTAAGGGGGGGCCGCCAGGGGTATTGCATGGCCTCCGTTCGCGCCCAAATGGCGGGGATGTCTTAGGAGGTTTGCCTGTTTTGGTCCCCAACATCCTCTGCTTTCGGAGCAGTTTTGGAGGATATCTCGAGCGAGGCGCTCATTTTTGCCCCCCAGGGGGGCCAGATTTTGAGGATCTCTCGATCGGTTTGCCTGTTTTGGTGGCCAGACTCGTGGGCACATATTCTCCCCAGGATGCCACAGGAGGCTCCAGGAGGCCACATGAGGTCCCTGGAGGCATCAGGAGGCCACAGAAAGACTCAAGAGGCCACAGGATGTCCCAAGAGGCTCCAGGAGGCCTCAGGAAGCTCCAGGAGGCTTCAGGAAGCCACAGGAGGCCCCAGGAGGCCACAGGAAGCGCCAGGAGGCACAGGCAACAGAAGGCCCCGAGAGGCCCGGCCTCAGAAGGCAACAGGAGTGGCTCCAATCCCATAGATTGGGCCTCACATGGAGCACGATTCCTTGATGTTATTCCTATGTTTCTATACATTGTCCTCCTCCTGTGTATACAATCCTAAAGGTTTTACGTCTGTTTCTATAGATCGGGCCTCCATTTGGGCACGAGTCCTTGGTGTTTTAAGTGTGCTCCTATAGACTGCCCTTCTCCTGTGGCTCCCTCCGCAATGTTTTGTGTATGTCTGTTCCTGTAGATCGGGCTTCTCCTGGGGCATGAATCCTCCCTAGGAGGTCCCAGGAGGCTCCAGGAAGCTACGCGAGGCCCCAGGAGGTTTCAGGAGGCTACTTGAAGCCCCAAGAGGCCCCAGGACGCCCCAAGAGGCTCCTGGAGGCCCCAGGACGGCCCAGGAGGTTTCTGGAGGCCCCAGGAGGCCCCAGGCTCATGCGCAGAGACGCGCTCGCACTACCGAGACTCACTCACGCTCCAATCCGTTCGCAGTTAGACTCATGACCGGACCCTCACAACTCAAGCCCGCTCATGTTCGAAGACTCTTGCGCCTGGACTCACGGCGGACAGGCCCATGCGAAGAGATGCACATATGGGGAGCTCCACGCAGTGAGTCATGTTTGTTTTTTTTCGCGCGGTCGCGCCACTGGGGGGTGCTCGGTGGAGCGGCCTGCGGCCGGGCCCCATCGCCGGGCTGCCGTGCCTCCGGGGCGCCGCGCGCCGCAGGCCCTCGGCCCCCCCCCCCCTGGGCGCCCCGGCGACCAGTGCATCGCTCGCTGCCCAGCGACCGCGCCAGGGCTCATCTCGAGTCCTCCGACTCGATTCGATTCGATGTCGATGGCTTCCAGTGCCCATTCGGGGTCCGACGGCTCAATGGAGGCCTGCTAGCCTGTGGATGTCTGCCGACTCGACTTTTCCCGGCTCGGCTGCCGATTGCTGTCGATCCGATTCATGTCGACTTCCGATCCGACTTGTCGATTCGATTTTGGGCTCTCCTGCCGCACGGTGTGATTATGCGTCTGTTTTCAGCGCGCCTTCCAGTACACTGGTTTAGTCTAGGCCTCCCAAATGGGGTCCGAGAAGATGGGGTCGGAGGATCGCTCCGCATCGTCGATGCATCGACGATGCGGCTCGATGTGGAGCCCGATTCGCCGATGCATTGGCGATGCGGCGCGATCCGATCTGCTCGGACCCCATCCAGGGACTCTTTACCTCAGGGTCGCTCACCTTCCAGCGCATCATTCTTCGGCGCCTTCCAGCGCACCGGGCGGAGGAGGCGGAGGAGGTGGGGGAGGAGGGGGAAGAGGAGGATGCCCGAGGCCGCTGGCGCACGCCTCGTGGCAGAGATTCTCGACGCCTGGGGCATCCCCCCGTTCGATGCTCGTTTTCGGGACCTTCCCGAGGCACACCTAACGGATCTGTTCGACTCGTTCGATCCAAGTTCGACTCAAGTTCTCGGGTCGGGCGAAAGGGGGGGATTGGGAAAGGGGGGGTTACGAACTTTGCTGCATGCAGCTGGTTTCGGCCTCACCGAGGGGCCCATTCCTCGATACATAGCCGCCTCCGGCGCCCTGAGGCGCCGGGAAAATCAGCTACGTGAGCTGATTCTCACCCCCCCCCCTTTGCTATCCCCCCCTTCCGCCCGACCCGAAGTTCGACTCAGGTTCGACTCGGGTTCGACCCAAGGTCGGCTCACATCGGCGGACCTTCGACGCAGCTTCGGCGTACGAGTGGCGCGAGGGCCTCCGGGAAGGTCCCCAGAATGAGCGTCCGACCCCCGCGTTCCCCCCTCCGCGGCCGCCCTCCTCTTCCCTTCTCGTCTACAGGGTGCCTCTGCCCGGCGTGGCCCGCCGCCGGCGGGCCGACCGCGCCGTCGTCGCCGACCAGCAGGGGGTGCGGCTCGTGTCTATATCAAGCAGTGGCGAGGCGTCCTCCTCCTCCTCCCGAGCCTCCTCCTCCTCCTCCTCCTCCTCCTCCTCCTCCTCCTCCTCCTCCTCCTCCTCTCCTCCTCCTCCTCCTCCCCCCCTCCTCCTCCTCCTCTCCTCCTCCTGCTCCTCCTCCTCCTCCTCCTCCTCCTCCTCCTCCTCCAGAGGCCGGATCGCTCACCAGAGAATGTTCTAAGATCCTCTGGTGGTTCGCACGAGATGTTCCTTGGAGCATTTCTGGCGTTGGCTGTCTTGCTTTAGCACCTCGGGGTTGTGTTCTGAGAACATTGCTTTTGTTGTTGGGTCCTGAGGACGTTTCGTGGTAGAGCTATAGGAACGCCGGGACGGTGGGTCCCTGCTCAAGTCTAGGCCTCCCAGATGAGGTTCGAGTAGATGGGGTCGGAGGATGGCGCCGCATCGGCGATGCATCGGCGATGCGGCTCGATGTGGAGCCCGATTCTCTACATGCTGGCGTCGCCGATCTATCGCCGACGTCGCCGATGCATCGCCGATGCGTCGGCGATGCATTGGCGATGCGGCTCGATCCTTCAACCCCATCTGCTCGGACTCCATCTAGGAGGCTTCTAGTGCGACTTGTGGCGCTGCAAGTGGCCATCCTGTGGTAGCAAATCGCCGAAGCTTTGCGTACCCGCGCAATGTCGTTTTTGGAATGCATTCGCGTCGACTCGTCGGGTAGTCGATGGGATAGCGCCGATTGGGGTCGATCAGCGTCGATTTAGCGTCGACTAGCGTTGATTCAGCGTCGATAAGCGTCGACTCGCAGCCAACACAATGGTATGGGAGGCTCCCATGAGCTGCCACCGAACCATCCTGCGTCTCCCCTCGCAGCCTTCGGGGGCAGGGCCGTGTGAGTCGGCCGCTGTTCTTCCATCGGCGGTCTGTGCGCTTCGGCGCCGCGGGGGGGGGAGGGGGGGAGGCGGCTCCGTCTGGGCGTCTGGGCGTTTGTCGAGGACGCGAACACACGGATAACGGCGCGTGTATCAGCGACGGGCCCTGCCTCCATACAACATCGACTGTCTCTGCCCAACTATCAGAGGAGGAAGATGTGCCCATACTGCTACCCTTGCCTCGTTTTCGCCCGTCCTGGCCGCCGCTGGATTGGCCCCGAGAGGTCTGGGGAGCAGCGGTATCGTCGCGGGCCTGGAGCTCGACACCAACACCAACACCGGCGGTGTGCCTCCGCCGAGGGAGGGCGATCCCGGTCTCGGCGACGGTGGTCCGATCCGGGCTTCCGGGGTGACCGAGGCATTACCACCGACACAGAAATCTAGGGCCATCATCCGTTGGTAGAGGCACATCGCTGCGTTGGTGTTGATGCCCATGTCCAAGTCTTCAACATCGGTGCCTTGTTTGGCATCCCCAACATCGGGCGGCACCGGCTGCATGTTTCTCGGGGGGGTACGATCCCCGACCCCCGATCCACGTTGGCGCGTGTCCGAGTTTTGGGGGCGCTCGCCTCTCTCTCGCCCCAGGGTGCCCCTCCCGCGAGGAAGACGGAGGCGGCCAAGAAGAGCTCGGACTCGAGCGACTCCGACTCCGACAAGAAGGAGCCCAGTCCGAAGAAGAAGCCGAGGACGCGGCCCCTGCGAGGGCGAACGTGCGCTCCTGGCAGCCGCGGGGGGGTGCTGAGGCGGGTCGGCGAGAGTCTGGTATGCAGGGGGCACCTCGCATGAGGAGCCGGCCTGCCCCATGCGGTCGTGGCTCATGTGCCGATGGGAGCGCCGAGCTCTTATATTATAGGCACCCAGCGAAGCTCAGGGTCGACGCAGGCTTCCCCCCCCTGCACTTTCTGATGGCAAGACGCCCTCCCGCCTGTGCCCGCTGCACTCGAGCTGGCCGCCCCTCCTGCTAGGAGGGCGCCCTCCGAGAGCGCCTGCGGGGTGGGCGGCGGGCGTGGGGCGCTCCGGGGCTCCCGGGATCCTGGGCGCGTCCCCCGGGCGCCCGGGGGCCAGGGTTCAGTCGGGCCTGTCCCCCTCCAGGGGCAACATCCCCCCAAAGTGGCCACACCATCGTCAGGGGACGATCTCTGGAATCATACTCTTGTGGGTGTTTTTTTTGAGTTTTTGTTGGGGGGGTATGTTCGATTTTTCCTGAGAGACCCCCTGTAGGGGGGCAGGCCCGACCCCAGGCGAGGGGCGGCGTGCCCGGGGATGGCGGCGAGGCGTGGCGGGCCTCTCCCCTCGCAGGAGAGGGCGGCGGGGCCTGCCCGGGGCCCCTCCGAGAGTCTGGCCCGGCCCCCCGCCCTGCCGCGCGCCGCGGCGGCGTCTCCCGAGGCGTCGTTGATCGGGCTGACCCAGATCGGGGGCGGAAAAGAGGGGGGTGATGACTAGGGGGGGGGGGATATCATGGCGGGGGCCATGATTTTTCCCCAGATTTCATGGCGCCTCTTCTTATTTCATTACGTCCCTGGCCCCCCCGCGGGGCCGCGCACATGCCGCCGGTCATGATTTGCACCCCCCCCTCTTGGACACCCCCCTCTTTGCCGCCCCCGACCAGAAGGGGGCCCAGCGACGAGGAGGGGGTGGTGCAAAAGATTTGGTGCAACAGATTTGTGGGGTTGCAGTGCACTCGGGGCGTGCCGTACATCCCAGGGCGCAAAGTGTGCGGCTGCATGTGTTCGCGTGCAGTGCACTTTCTGCACTGCATATGTGCAGTGCAGTTCTCCGGCGCGATGCCTCTGCAGTACGACTGCCCCTTCCTCCATTGCACCGCCCCCTATGCAGCTGGACCCCCTTTTGGGTCACCCAGCGTCGACCTCCAGCGCGATGCATGTGCAATACGACAGCCCATTCATCTGTTGCACCGCCCCCTTAAGCCGCAGGAGCGGCACGGCGCGCGCAGGCCTGCGGCCCCCCAGGCTGCAGGCGGGGGCGACGTGCCCTGCCGCGCGCGGGCGGCAGGGCACGGGGGCTTGGCATCGCTCGGACGTGTGGATTTGTTCCTCGGCGAGAACCATCGAGGACCATCCTGGACCATCGAGCAAAAAAATCACGCGCGAAACCGAAAAATGCACGGGAAGTGGACGACGGCAAGCGGGGAGGCAGGCGGCAGGCGCGCGGTGCGGCGCGCGTGCGCCGCTCCTCGCAGCTGCAGGGCGGCGCCGCGGGCTCCGGGACTCGTCGAGTGCGGGGGGCCCGAGGCCCCGGCGGGTCGTCTCATCGTGGGCGGAGGCTCAGAGGAGCAAGAGGTACCCATACCTCTACCCTCCGCCCGTTTTCCGCTTTTTGGGCCTCCTGAGCGGCCCTCGTCGCTACCGCTGGAATCGCCTCGAAATCCTGGTCAGAACGCACCCCAGGAGATGTCCAGGGAGTAGCGGTATCGGAAAGAGCGTGTTCTACCGCTGCTGGCGGAAAACCGGGGGGGGTCACTACCGGTTCGAACTCCCCCCCCCCTCGAAAACCGGGGGGGGGTCATTACCGGTTCGAACCCCTCCCCCCGCCCCCAGTCCATCATGAAAAGGGGGGGTCATTGCCGGTTCGAACCCCCCCCCCTTTGAAAACTGGGGGGGGTCACTACTGGTTCGAACCCCCCCCCTCGGCGCCGGCAAACGATCCCCGCTCCTCGGGACAGGTGGACAATGGTGGGGATGCTGGGACAGTGGTGGGAACTGTGGTGGAAGGGGGGACAGTGGTGCGGGGACAGTGGGGCAGTGGTGCGGACAGTGGTGGGGACTGGTGGTGGGGACAGTGGCGAGGGGACAGCGGGACAGTGGTGGGGACAGTGGGACAGTGGTGGGGACGGTAGTGGCGGGGACAGGTACAATGGGGCATGGGGAAAGTGGTGGGGACAGTGGGGACAGTGGGAGAGTGATGGGGACAGTGGGGACGGTGGGACAGCACAGTGGGACAGCGGCGGGGACAGTGGGACAGTGGTGGGTACAGTGGGGACAGTGGGACAGTGGTGGGGACCGTGGTGAAAGTGGGGAGAGTGGTGGGGGTGGGGGGGGTTCGAACCGATAGTGACCCCCCTGGTCTTCCGGAGGGGGGGGGGTTGGCGGGGGTTCGAACAGGTAGTGACCCCCCCTGGTTTTCTGGAGGGGGGTGGGCTCGAACCTGTAGTTACCCCCCGCGGTTTTCTGGGGGGAGGGGGGTGGGTGGGGGTTCGAACCGGTAGTGACCCCCCCAGATTCCGGGAGGGGGGGGTTCGAAGTGGTAGTGACCCCCCGCGTTTTTCCCGAGGGGGGGGGGGTTAGGGTGAGGGGGGGGTTTTGCCGGGAGGGATGGGGGGACCGGGCCTGGCCCTGCATTCGGGTCTCCTGCTTCTTCCTCGAAGTTGGGACGCTTCGGCACAGAGGACACGCCGGAGTGGACCTCTCCAGCTTTCGTCAGGCCCGCGCAGTGTCCATGAGAGGAAGAACGCAGCTGAGCACCGGAGGCCGTGCGGGCAGCTACGGAGCTCGGACATGCAGAAGCAAGGTGCGGACGACCCTGCAAAGCCCTAGGAGACCAGAGCATTGACAGCGCGAGCACCAAATCTGCAAGTGGCCAGGGAGCCCCCGCGCCATGCCCCCGAGCGTTGCTCCACCCCGGCGGGGGTGGGCAGCCTGCACGGGATGGTCCCTGGGCCCAAGGACTTGGGGGCAGATGTGCTCATCGAGGGAAGAAGCACCCGTTTGCGGGATCTTGGTCATGGTCCATGCTGGCCGTCGTCGATTCGCGAGGATAATCCGCGCTTAGACGATAACCCAGACGGACGGTGACCACGATCGACACCGACGTTTCCGCGTTCAGCCTTGGTCATGGTCATCGTTTTCTTTCATTTCAGCTCATGGCTCGAGCAACTCTGCCTTGGTTGGTGAATTGCGGCTCTTCGAACGGCAGTTCTGATTTCTTAGTCTGGCGACGGATTGGTTGGCACCAGACGTTGCGCCGCATGCGTTTCTGCGCCTTCCTCGGGTCGTGCCTCCTCGAGCAGCCTCTTCCCTGGCCTCGCTCCCAAGTGTTTTTTTCGAGGGCCGCCCTTTGCCAGGAAGAAGGAGGCAGCCAAGAAGAGCTCGGACTCGAGCGACTCTGACTCCGACAAGAAGGAGCCCAGTCCGAAGAAGAAGCCGAGGGCTCAGAAACCTGGCGGGGCCAGCGTTCCAAGGTCTGCCGTGGCTGCTAAGGCTGTGCCCGCAGATGTCTTCCATCGGGGGCCACACGAGTGATGACTCGACTGCGGCCCCCAGGATCGCCTCTCAGCCCTCACCTGGGGACCCCCCCACGTCGCTTTCCCATAGAACTGCCAGGTTGATCAATTGAGCCGCCGTCCCACGCGTGCGCTTTCGCGTCTGCCCAGGTGGATCCGCCCGTCTGCAAAGGGTCAGATCCAGGGTAAGGATCTTTCACGATAGCTTCAGTGCCCTGCGCTTTGCGGCGCTGCGGCTGGAGCAGAACATCGGTCTTATGGGGTTCTGTTCGTGCGAATCCGTTGCGTGTCAGCTTCGAAGATCGCTCTTGTCGTGCACTCAAGACGCTGCAGTACTCACCATTACTCTTACCAGCCTGGAACGTATCCCTATCCCTATGATTGGCGTCGCCCCATCTCGATACCGATCTTCAGGATTCCCTCAGTTTTCGAGGGCGCATCCCTAAGATTGGCATCATCTGTTGGCTGGCCAATCTTAGGGATAGGGATAAGTTCGAGGCTGGTTTTACTCTGGGATTCGGAATCTATCCAGGCCAGGGAACCTGATCGTGGCCGAGGCCTGCCATGGCCAGACGCGTCCCTTCGTTCTTTATTTGGCGTTCCCTGCGGTAGCGCGATGGCTGTACGGTCGGACAGAGGTAGAAGGGCGAGGTCGGTTCGGAGAGGGATCCTGCTGTTCTTCATGTTGGTTGGATGTTCTTGTGCATCCTGGGGAAGGGTACACTCGAATGCTCTTCAGTTTGGGCTGGCGGATGGTCTCATGTTCTGGAGAATGTCTCTGTCCTGGGTCTGGCCGTAGCACGACGGCTGTAACGCTCTTTTCTCTTTCTCCTTCTCCTCCCCGCCGGGCGGAGGTCCAGCGCAGCCAAGCAGGGGGTCCCACCAGGGGGAGCCGCTGGTCATGCCAAGCCACCCCAGCCCAACCCAAAGGTCCCAGACCCCCCCACAAATTTCGGCTTGGGTGCTGTACGGGTGTCTTCGTCTTTCCTCAATGGTCTGGGGTTCCCCCCCACCGGAGCTTGACGATCCCAAAGGTGACTTCGTGTTGGGTTGTGGCAATGTGGTAGGCAGTTGGCTAGGATGGCCCGGGATGTCCAGCTGGGCACGGCGATGGTGCGGGTTTGGGGCGGAAGTTCGTTGCGTTGCAGACTTGCCGGGTGGGTGCCGCGCCTGGGGGGGATTTTCGGGAGCTTTTCCGCGCTCGAGTGCCAGCGCCAAAGGGCCACCGAAAGCTGCCCCCTGCCCCCAGTTCTGGCCCCCGCCCCTGCCAGGGATGACCGCGGGTGCTGCCGTCGGGCGCGGGGGCGTCATACAGGGTCATCAGTGAGGTGCCGCGATGCCGACTAGGAGCCAGAGGCCCACGTGTTCATGTGCTTGCGGCATGTTCCGCCACAGTGCGACGCGTGGCGTGCGACTGCTTTCGTCCCTCGGCGCCAGGAGGGCGCAGCACGTGACGCAGTGTCCCGCGGGCTCGCGATGGGCGTGGGGCTTGTTGCCCAGGGCCCAGGGAGGACGTTACAGGTGGCACCTCAGTCCGCGGATCAGACAGGGCAGTGACGTGTAACACAGTCCGCTTCCCTTGTGGAGAGAAGACCGTCGTGTCGCGTGCAAGGAGGTGAGTGGAGTCATCGTGCTGCCACAACAAGCAAAACGGCATAATCATAAACTTCTGGAGCTCCGCGCGGAGCCCTTGGACCGGCGCCAGGCCCCCCTGAGCCGCGGCTCTGGTGCCGCTGTGAGATTTGAGTCTAGATGCGTGTGTCCTTTCGAACCCAATGGGTATCTTACTCAACTATCTGAGCTTGAAGGCCACCTGTAGGGATCATACCATTTCGGCTCAAGACCCGTATCCACTCCTACTTCTCGTCGTTCAGTATTCTGTATACATATATGGGAGATCCCGGGCCGGAGGCCCTGGGGCCAGCCCCTCCCTTGTACGACGCTGCCCCCCCGCCCGGGGGCGCTCTCCGGGCGGCCCCCCGAGGTAGCAGAAAGCCCAAGAATCTTCCAAGACCATCCAAGATAGGCTGCGACTGGCCCTCAAGGCCCCCCAAAGCGCCTCGCGAGAGCTCCCAAACGGATCCAGATGACACCGCGACAGCCCCAAGGCGTCCCAAGACGCCGCGCGAGGACCCCAAGAGGCCTCCCAAGAGGGCCCCAAGAAGCAAACACCGTTCCATTCCCCTGGGCAAGCGTATACTTTTAGCATATTCACCTTGGGCTTCCACAGCGTCCACGACCTCCCAAGAGGCTCTCAAGACGGCCCTGGAGGCCCCTAGAGATCCGTGGGAGCCTCTTCGAGCCCTCTTGGGGCCTTCGGGACGCTCTCGGGCCGCTCTTGGGGCTGTCTCAGGGCCTTTCTGCGTCTCTCTTGGGGCGCTCTTGGTCGATGTTGCAACCGTCTTGAGGCAACGGATGCCCATCGTCGGAGGTGAACCAGCGAGAGTAAACGTCATTGAATGAAGAGCAGCAGGTTGCATGGGGCCTCTTTCTTGGGCTCCTGGGGGCATCCTCGGGAGGCTCCGTGGCCATTTGGACTCGTCTTGAGGCCGTCTTGCAGCCTTGAAGGCCATCTTGGGCTATCTCGGTCCCTTTGGAGCCACACTATTCGGCCATCTTGGGCTATCTGGGTCCCTCTGGAGCCAAACTATTCGGCCACCGTGGACGCTGCCAGGGGTCGGGAGGGTCCGTCCAGACCCAGTGGATGAATTGTGGGAGGTGGGAGAGGGGGGTGGAAGTGAGATCGCTCTGGACCACGTGCGCCCAGAGGGCTGGTGGGATGCAGAGCTTCAGGACCATCGTCGGTGAGAAAGGCTCGGGCGACACGACGGGCCCGCCCCGCCGACACGCCTGGCGGTGTGACGGGGAGGATGAGGAGTGAGGTGGAGGGGGAGGAGGAGGAGGAGGAGGAGGGGGGGAGGAGGAGGAGGAGGAGGAGGGGGAGGAGGAGGAGGAGGAGGAGGAGGAGGAGGAGGAGGACCTTTTTTTGGACCTTTTGTTAAGCACAGCGTGCCGCGGGGGGAACGAGAGAAGAACCACTCAGCACCCAAGGTGGCTGCCGAACGGCAGCCACCCCCCGACCCTTCGACCCCTCCGAACGGAGGGCGGCGAGAGGTCGCCGAGCGTGGCGGGATGGGTGCTGAGGACTTCCCCCAACAGCGCGCTGTGCCTCCGTCGCGCTCGAGGGAGCTCCGACAGCCAAGGCTCCCAGACCCTCGTCTGGGAACTGAGGCGGCGTGCTGCCCGAGGCACGCCCGCGGTGAGTGCGGGGCCTCGGCACCGCCGAAAGGCGGGGGGGTTTAAGGTGAACCCCGAACTCAAATCGACCACCCCTCGGCACGCCAGCGGTGAGTGCTGGGCCGAGGCACCGCCCAAAAGGCGGGGGGGGTTTGTAGGGAAACCCCGAACCTATGCGAACGACGGCGGTCGACGCGGGTGACCGCCGCCCCCACGGCACGCCAGCGGTGAGTGCTGGGCCGTGGCACGCCGAAGCGGGGGGTTTTAAAGGATAACCCCGAACCTACCGTATCACCAGGCTGGTGGCCCAAGTCCTGCACGGCGAGCGGCGGCCTTGATGAATCCGCTGGGGTTGCGGATCTTGGCCTTCATCGCGATCATCTCCTCCACGAGCTGCGAGGCCCAGTAGTCACCAAAACCCGCCAAAGCGGACACGGCCTCGTCGTCGATGGGATTGAAAGCGAACTCGCGGGTGTTGAGAACCTCCACCATCCGCTTGGCACGCAGGTACATCATGTCCTCGTCAAGCGGAGCGGGCCCTGGAGAAGAAGAACAGGAAGAAATCTTCTCGGCGCCGACACCGAAGGAGAGCCCAGAGGACTTGGCGGCATACTCGATCTCGCCCTCGGACTCCTGGTTGGCTCCACTCGACGCTTCAGCAAGAACCTCCTCGCCGTCGGCGGGGCTCACCACCTCCCGCACGGCGGAGTCCTCGTGAAAGCTGGGAAGCGCCCTTCTTCTCCCCAATCAGCTCGGTGATGCAGTCGCTGACGACCTTAGCCTCGATATGCTGGAGCTCCTGTGAGAAACCCCAGGCAACGGCACGAGTCGCCATGAGCTCGTCGCAGAGGCTGTCGGCGACCGCCTGACACTCCTGAAGGCGACCCTCGGCCGAAGAGAGCAGCTCCTGGCACTCGGCGACCCGCGCGCGCTCGACCAGCAGCATGCCCTCAGCCTCGTCCGCGCGCTGGCTGTGGGCGAAAGCCTCCTCCTTGACCAGCGCCAGCTCCTGCTTGACCCGCGCCAGCTCCTGCAGGGACCCAGACAGGCCGTCCCCGCTGCCCGACGCTGAGTCGGAGTGATAGCCTTCGTCCCCGCTGGCACCCGTGGAACAGCAGGTCGGGGGGTCAGCCGCGCACGAAAGAGCGCCGTGGATCTTGTCCAGCAGCTCACGGTGCGGGTGCGCGCAAGCGCGCCGGCCGTTGCGCAGGCTGACCCACTCCTTGGCGAGCTCGCGGTGCCCGCCGTCCACGAGACGACGACGAATGTCCTCGCCCGTGGCCTTCTTGTGGTCGTGCCCGTACTTGATGAGCACGTCCTCGTAGCCGTCGATGACAGCGCAGGCCGAACAGGCCTCCAGAACGCCGCCAATGCCGGCTCCCGCCGCCGGAGCAGCAAGGCAGGCGGTGGCCGCCGCCACCACCGCCTCCTTGAGAAGCCACTCCCGGAGCGGCCGCTTGACCACCGTGGCGCTGACCGAAGAGAGCAGCGCTGCAAGCTTGGCCTCGACCGCCGAGCACGCCGACATGGCGAACTGGGCCGAGGGCACGAGGGAACCGTATGCAGGGTGCGCGGAGCAAAACTGGCGAGCCAGCCCCTTGAGCCAAAAATGGCTACGGAGGAGGAGGAGGAGGAGGAGGAGGAGGAGGAGGAGGAGGAGGAGGAGGAGGAGGAGGGGGGAGGAGGCCGAGGAGGGTCCGTTCAGATGGCCAGCGCTTGGACTGACCCCCTTCGAGTCTGCTGAGCCAATCCGGGCCTCCCAAAGGGGGTCCGAACACGTGTGGTCGGAGGATCGCACCGCATCGCCGATCCATCGGCGATGCGGCTCGATATGGAACCCGACTTTCCCACGCGGACGGCGCCGATGCACTGCCGATGCGTCGGCGATGCGGCATGGTCCTCGACCCCACTCGCTCAAACCCCATCTTCACTACTCACAGTCGGGGCGCTGAATAAGGAACCCTTTTCGTTTGGGAGGGGGGCTCACAGTTTGCCTTGGGTTTTCCTGAGGTTCTCCATGGGAAATCGAAGTTGAACTGATGGGAAAAAGTGGCCTCGTTCCTTATTGAGGGTTCCTCAGGTCAACGCCCCGACTGTACCGAGATCCCCCCCGCCCAGCGCGAAGGGCCCCCCAGATTTCGGGTTGGGGTGTGGGCGAGTTCTTTCTGGTGCCTTCGCAGTGTTCCGGCATGCTCCCTCCCACTGTAGAAGAAGAAACAGCGGCATCAACAAAAACTTTTAGCGCTCCGCGCGGATTTCTTGGATCCGCGCCGGACCCCCTTCCCTGGCGCGTGGAGCGCGCCAGGGGCGGCGCCGGAGGCGCCGCGGGGGGCGCCCAGCGTGGATCCAAGAAATCCGCGCGGAGCGTCAAAAGTTTATGCTTATGGCTTTTTTTCTTTCTCGACGCTGGCAAAGGGACGAGCTCGACGGCGCCGTCGGGTCTTGGCGGGGTCGGTCCTACAGGCAGCCTCACCTGGAGGCCTCCAGCTGAGCCCTGCGCCGGCCGAGGCGGAAGCGCTCGCCGTCGAAGCAGAAGAAGTCGGCAGAGCGGAGGAAGAAGTCCGCCTCCAGGCCCTGGGCGGGAGGGGGGCGGCGGGCGCAGCCTTCCGCCTTCGAAGAAGAAGAAGAAGAATAACAATAATAACAATAATAATACTAATAATAATAATAATGATAATAATAATAATAATAATGATAATAATCATAATAATAATAATAAAAATAATAATAAGAAACGGCATGACCATCAACTTTTGGCGCTCCGCGCGGATTTCTTGGATCCGCGCTGGACCCCCGCCAGGCGGCGCCTCTGGCGCCGCCCCTGGCGCGCTCCGCGCGCCAAGGAGGGGGGTCCAGCGCGGATCCAAGACATCCGCGCGGAGCGCCAACAGTTTTTGTTGATGCCGTTGTTGTTTCTTCTTCTTCTTCTTCTTCTGCTGCAGTGGGAGGGAGCATGGCGGAACACTGCGAAGGCACGAACACCGCGCGGAGCGCCCAAAAATTAAGTTGATGCCGTTTTTGCTTCCTCGAAGCCTCCCGCCTGCCCTCCGGGGTCGCGGCGGCCTCGCGGCCCCGCGCCCGTGCGGTGCGCGCGGTCCCGCGCGGGCGTCGCGGAGGCTCGCCGCGGAGGTCGCCTGGCGGGGTCCAGGCCTCCCGGGTGGGGTCGCAGCAGACGGGGTCCCAGGCCCAGGCCTCCCGGGTCCAGGCCTCCCAGGTCCAGGCCTCCCAGGTCCAGGCCTCCCAGGTCCAGGCCTCCCGGGTCCAGGCCTCCCAGGTGGGGTCCAGGCCTCCCGGGTCCAGGCCTCCCAGGTGGGGTCCTGGCCTCCCAGGTCCAGGCCTCCCAGGTGGGGACCGCGCCGCAATCGCCGATGCGCAGTCGGTGCAGCTCGATGTGGGGCCTGGTGTTCTCCAGGGTGGCGACGTCGCCGATGCATCGCCGACGTCGCCGATGCGTCGCCGATTCACTGGTGATGCATCGGTGGTGCGGCGCGACCCCACGGCCTTGTCTACTCGGACCCCTTCTTGGAGGCCTCCAGTAGCAGTCAAGACGCTGACGCCAGGACCACTGGGCTCAAGAGTGGCTTTGGCTTTCGGGCCGTTCCTGAGACGTAGGCTTGAGTCGGGCATGTCCCTCGACATGAGGAATATTTAAGAATAGTGGAACAATGGTCTGGTGACGAATCTTGGACTATTTTTGTTTGTTTCGGGGTATTTTTCGATTGAAAATCACTCCAGAATCCCCCTGTAGGGGGACATGCCCGACCTAAATGTAGGTCGGGAAGCCTGTTCGTGGCCGAGGCTCGCCGTGGTCAGGGAAGACCCTTCGTTCCTCATTCAGCGTTGTCTATGTTGGAGCCATCCATGTCGGCAGAGGGGAGGGGGGGATGGCATGGGAGGAGATCGAAGGATAATAACCGCGATCAATTTGGCGCTCTGCGCGGATTTCTTGGATCCGCGCTGGGCCCCCCAGGCGGCGCCTTCGGCGCCGCCCCTGGCGCGCTCCGCGCGCCAGGGATGGGGGTCCGGCGCAGATTCAAGAAATCCGCGCGGAGCGCCAGAAGTTTATATAGTGTTTTTTCTTTTTCTATGGATGCAGGGTTGGAGGGGAGCCGGGGTGGCCAGTCATTTTGAGGTAGCTCTCGGATCAACGCTCTCACATGTGCGTTGCACAACTCAGGGGGTAATTGATCCTGCGGTCTCTCTCTCTCTCTCTTTTGCTCTTATCTCTTGCTCGCTCTCCCTCTCTCTCTCTCTTGTTTGTTCTCTCTGTCTCTCTGTGTCTTTCTTCTCTCTCTCTCTCGATAACTCTCACTTTCTCTGTCTCTTTCAACGGTGTCTCTCTCCCTCTCTCTTTCTCTTTCTTTCGTTTGTTTGTGTGCGTTTCTCTCTCTCTCTCTCTCTTTCTCTCTTTCTCGCTGTGCCAACACATGTATATGTATACATGCACATATGTGTACATATGTATGTATGTATGTAGGTAGGTAGACAGGTAGGTATGTATGTATGTATGCATGTATGCATGCATGCATGCATGCAGGTAGGTAGGTAGGTAGGTATGTGTGTATGCATGTATGTATGTGTGTGCATGCATGCATGCATGCATGCATGCATGCATGCATGCATGTGTGTAGGTATGTATGTATGTATGTATGTATGTATGTATGTATGTATGTATGTACGTACGTACGTACGTATGTATGCATGCATGCATGCATGCATGCATGTATGTATATTTGTATGTATGTATGTATGTATGCATGCATGCATGCATGCATGTATGCATGTATGTATGTATGTATGTATGTATGTATGTATGTATGCATGTATGTATGTATGTATGTATGTATGTATGTATGTATGTATGTATGTATGTATATATGCATGCGTGTATACATGCATGTATGTATGCATGCATGCATGCATGTATGTATGGATGTACGTATGTATGAATGTATGTATACATACGCACACATATATATATATATATATATATATGCATGCACGTATGCATGCATGCATATATGCATGTAGCTATGTATGTATGT